GCGCTATTATTAGGGTCCATAATAGCCTGTGTGTCTATTCTGGAAATCGGCTTAACGACTCTGCTCGCTCCACAGCGAATTTGTACGGATGCATCAACGACAGTCGCAATGTGGTCAAGAGTCATGTTGACCGCGGTAATATCAGGTGCGGTCCAGGCTGCAAAATGCCCGTGCTTCCATTCTGCCGGAACGAAGACATAGTCTGGCCGGATGAGCGCCCCGTTACGCCGCTGCGCAAAAGTCCATGTCGGTCCGTCTTGTACCCCCGGACATGTGGCGGGGGCCCATAGTTGGCATTTCTTAAGGAAGGCGTGGCAAAGCTCTCCTGCGAGGTCTTGCTCCTCGGCGCCGACACCGGCTATGCTAGAAGACTCGACAGAGCCTAGGCTTGCATTGCAGTCTGCGCCAACAACGAGCAAACGCCCCCGGGCACAGCGGAAGAGGATCTCCTCTGTGCCCTGCCACCACTCCGTAAGTTCCGACTCTGCCGATCCTCGATGTGGGGCATGGAGTGAAGCGAAAACGATCTGGAGGCCTCGCTGCTTAAAGAGCAGAACTAAACGCCTGGGGTCCTTCTCTAGAACCACAAAGGCGCGCGGTTCAAAGCAGATAGCTTCGAAACCCTTATCCTGGAAAGTAACCACCGGGTGTATAGCGCGGAACCACAGCTCGACACCTAGGTGGCCTTTAGCAGCTCCTGAGGAATAACGGAGATATGGCCCCGTGCACAAGAATCCGGCTTCCGTGCGTGCCTCTTGTATCGCCGCAAAGTGCACATCAGCCTGCTTAAGCTGGTTGGCAAGCAAGGCAGGCCTGGCGGGCCGGTAAGCGAGACCCTCACCTTTGGCACCTTTTCTATCGGTGGCAAGCGACGATGCATTGTAAGAGGCGGCTCGTAGCCGTATGCAACCGCTTTGTCGTGTGAGTGTCGCATCCTCAGGCGGCAAGAATGGGGCTACCATATCCGTTGGCCCCAGACCTTGATCATGGCGATGTTGGGTGAGGGAGTGCCCTAAAGGGGAAGGTAGTGCATCGTCAC